ACTTTTTCTCGCGGCACGATATCTGGCCGCCATGCAGGGTTGCCGCAACTGCGGCAGATGGAGCTTGATGCCTATCGCCTCAAGATCGAAGAAGACAGCTCGTGGGACAGCGTGACGCGGCCCGTTGACGAGCAGCTGCAGGCACTCGTCCTCCAGACGGAGCAGTGCTGGAGGCGGCTCAAAGAACTGGCCAACGAATTGCGCGACAGGCAGAGCGAGGGACTTGTAGCTCAAAATCGTCTCGACAAGCCCCAAACCCAGCCCTCGAACCTCTCTGACCCTCCTCACATACTTCACCATCGGATCCCTCCAGCTCACCTCCCCGCCACCACGGCCCAGGAAAATCCCCGGGTATTTCCTACAAGTCCGAATACATATCCTCCCCAGATCAACTCCTAGCTCATCAAACCGATCACGTACATCTGACTCCTGAAACTCCCCCATAAAGACAACCACGGTCGTCTTGCTATTTAGCTGCAATCCCGTCGCCAAGGCACACTGGTTCATAATTACCAGCACATGCGGGACAGTCTCGAACAGGTCATGCGAGCCATGCATCAGGTCGTCCGCGAAGCCACACAGACAAGACTCTGGCTCTGGCAGCGCACAAACGGGGGCGCGAACGATGGGGTCCAGAGCGAGCGCGAAGATCGACCCCGAGGCGGGACACCCCTGCTTAATCCCAGACTCGATATCAAAGCCAGGAAAACGTTGGCCTCCCAGAACGATGGTCGTTCGAATGCCCGAGTACAGAAACCTCAAGGCACGTAAGATACACCTCGGCACACCCATAGTCTCCAGGATCCACCAAATCCAACCATGGTTACGTGACGGAAACGCCGCCCGAATATCGAGAAGGATGCAACCCGACGCCCTATGCCCAGACACACAGTACCACATCGCAAGCTTAGACGCAGCCTCGAGCACATGATCGTTCAAAAATCTGCGCAGCACAAAACCGCGCTGAGGACTCGCGCACGAAATCGACGCCTGTCTCGCCAACCCCCAATTAATCCACCCGCTGATAATTTTATTATCCGTATTCCCCAGACATATCGGCCGAGTCCCAGGCGGACAAGAGATCAGCTCACCCACAGACTCAGGCACCTCCCCCTTCGGAATGAATACAGCAAGGCACAGATTAAACTCGTCGTCGTCCGCCTCGCCCCCGAGGGGCGCGCGGTAAGCTTCGCGCAGAACTTCAGCTCCCAGATCCCCAGCGGCCGAGTAACAACTGAAAGGAATCCCATCAGGACCAGGCGCCGAGCCCCGAAAACGTCTCAGTCCCTGCTTGAACTGTTCAAACGAAGCTTCCCAAATCACATTTCCCGAAGCTCTTTGAACGAAACGTCGAAATGGAAGTTGATGGACCCGCTCTCTAGCTCGATTAAAATGAACCCTACCCCAATGATCAGCCAGCAGCGCAGCACACCCGGCCTGGGCGTCGGGAACAGCGCCGTCAGGAGCTTCCACTCCAGCGAGCACCAGCCTCCGATTACGAGCTCTCCAAGCTTGAATGTGTCGCTGGATCTGCTGCGCTTTCTTGACTTTGTACTCATGAGAGAGCAACGGGGACGCGACCAATTCCTTCACCTCCTCGTCTAACACCGATTCCGAAACCGACCTCATCCTCTCCATGAATCCACCGTAGTCCGCCCGACATCCAACTCCCTCGTCCACATGCTGCGACATCTCGGGCACAGCACGCATAGCCTTGCGAACGATAAACACATTGTTCTGCGTCATGGCGCGCAGGACCGCAAAGAACCAAGAGAGGAGCTCAGCTGCTGATTCCGGACCTGACACTGACAGACCAGCCTTCACGCGCCGAGCAGCTTCGTGAAACACCTCCTTAAGACCTCGAAGCCGAGAAAACGCGGTCGACAACAAAGGCATGCCCCCCCCCCCCCCCCCCACAGGCCCAGAACAGCTTCCGAAAACTGAGGCTTTCCAGTAACCCATGTAGGAATCCAAGGAAAGTCATTGCGCGGACCAGGAAACACGGAAACGTAGACAGGGGCATGGTCGCTCGGCTTCGACAGGTCAGTAACTGGCCAGATAACACCCGCGGCAGGCTTCAAATCGAGTAGGCGCCCCGAGTCCAGACTGGTATAGACTCGATCCAGGCGCCCAGCGGAGAGGATGTTCTCGTCTTGTTCCACTCGAAACGCAGGGTTAAGTTGGGCGACCTCGCACATGAAAGGAAAAATGCCCGCAAAGAAACTGCCCACCGTGTCCGTCTTGGCGGCCGCAGGTTCTGCTTGCAGAAAAATACGGGAGTCCCCAGGATCCAGACAATTAAAATCACCAAAAATCCATGTCGCGCACATGTCAACAGGTTTCACACGGGAAGCGACCTGCCGACTCAACCCATATTGCATTCCATCAGACAGTGCAGGGTCAATGTGCACGCTGATAACTGTCATACATCCCTTCCTCCCCCTCAAATGAATACAATGGCATCGCCCATCAGCGACAACCTCATGCTTGACGCGCACAAGCTGCGCCAAAAAAATTGAACGAGCCAGGATGACAGCACCTCCTGCTGCACGGTCGGGTAGAAACGAGCCCCAACCTTTAAATACTCGGAGGTCAGAGAGGAGAAGTAGAAGGTCCTCTTTACATCCATGACATTCCTGCAAGACCACCACATCAGCAGAACGGCGCAAGGACATAACAGTCGCACGTGTCCGCGCTTGCTGGCCCACGTCCGAATGCAGGGGGCCAAAGAGAGTGTGGACATTCCATGTAATGATACGAAATCGACGAGCGGGAACAAAGGGGACAACGCGGATATTCGGATCATCGAAATCACCCTCCGACGAGCAACTCGACTCCGACTCAAACGAAGCCCTGGAAGAAGAAGAAGAGACAGAAGAGGAAGAACAAGCAGAAGGGAACATAGCATCCTGGCGAGGCCTGGACGCCTCCTGGTCGTTCTGACTGCGCATGCTGCCTCGGCTCCTTGCGGGCAGCGAATTATGCCCAAATCCAGGTAGCGGAAACTCCTATTGGTTCAGTAACCCCAACAGCCTGTCAGCATCAGCCTGGGCGAAGTTGAGGCTCCAGAAGTCGTCCGTCGCGGTGCACTGCAAACGTCCAAGCGGATCGAGCGTACCACGAAACAGAACCCAAATGTCGTCGTCCTTGATGAAATAGAACTCGTTGCGGAAGCCGTTCGCGCCCATCCTCGCAGATTGACTCCACACACCCTTCTGGACGAGAAGCTCCTTCATGGGCAACCAGATGCGTCCAAGTTGTCGCTGTCGACTGCGGACGTCGCCTGGTAAATCGGCTCTCACGCGGACATCATGCACCACCTGCGTCCTGTGGTCCTTCCATTTCATCGGGTTCTCGACCATGTAGTCGTGAAATTCACGCGCAAGAGCAGGAGTCTCGAAGTGTACACTATAACTCTGACTGACGCGAGCGAAGCGGGCAGTCATCTTCTCGGCCATGTGACGCAGAACATGTTGTTTGAGCCGTTCAAAGTGAGCCTCTCGCGCAGCGACCATGAGCGGCCTCGGAAAGCCACTTATCCAGCGTCGGCATTCGTCAGGAACATCATCATGAGCAGGAGACCCTGTGGGGGCCGTACTCGCCGCACGAGAGAACTTGGCGGGGCGAGGCGACACTCCAGAACCTGCAGACGCCGTTGACACCGCACGCATCTCACTGCGAAGCTCCTTGATGTTCTTCTCCATCTTCTCGGACAGCGCGGAGACTTGGGCCTGCACAGCAAGATCTCCCTGGCTGGCACCTTGCGGAAGCTGGGCTAACGCATTCTCGATCTGGACTACCCGTGCCTCCAGGGTGCCGATCTTCACGACCTCCTGCATGACCTTCGCATTGTTCTCGGAGAGTGAAAGCAACTGGGCCTCCAACTTCTTCGTGGATGCCGCGTTCACCTCCATGGCCTTGGCGATACGCTCGAGATGCGAGACTGGGACTTCCTCCGTCTCTTCATCCACCTCAATGGGCGTACTCACTGCAGCGGGCGCACCTCCAGATCCTGAGCCCGACATGTCTGAGCGCGAGACTGGCGGACGGAAGCGGAAAGGACTCTGGACCACTAGAGGGTGCGAGACCCAGTGGCTGCAACAAAAAAACAAAAAAATGGCTCACGCCATTTTGGCTCAAGCCATTTTGGCTCAAGCCATTTTGGCTCAAGACTCCATGTTCCCCTGGGGACAAAGTGGAGTCCTCTGATCCGAGGCCAGACCCCAAAGCAAAATGTTTGAGCAAGAGAGGAGGGAGGAGGAGGAGGAGGAGGAGAGGAGGAGGAGTCCAGGAGCAGGGAGATCTGGAGCCCTCGGATCTCGGCCCCCAGGCCGTCGCTGCCCGCGCCCCGCTCCCGGCTCGCCCTGGGCCATCAGGGGCCGCGCGGAGCCGAAGGAGCGCGGAGGAGAAACATCGGGAGCGAGCGAGGGGGGGAGGTGAGAAGGGTAAGACGAAGCCAGGACGAGGATAAACATCGGGCGAGGATGCATCGGGGATCTCTGAGGTCCGCCGGCTCTGGAGGCTGTCTCGGGGGCCGCGGCCTTCTCGTGACGGAACGCTCTGAGAGCGTTGGGAGACGCTCTGGAACGGATCTGTCCTCATCCTAGCCCCGTCCGAGGGAGGAGGCCTTCTCGGAAAACGGCGGGACTTCTCAGAGGTTCTCTGCGTCCTCGGGGACGGCTTCGAACATTTCTCTTCTCAGAAGGCCGGGGAGACTTCGGAGCCTTCTGAGAAAGCATTCTCCTTCTCACTCCCCACCTGGGCGCGCCGCCGAGAGGAGAGAGAGAGAGAGAGAGGGGTGAGGATGAAGCTAAGGCCAGGGAGGAGGAAAAGGAAGAGGAGGAGGAGGAGGAGGAGGAGGAGGAGGAGGAGGAGGACGACGACGACGACACCGAGGACGACAACGACAGAGGCGGACGGCCAGGATGGGCGGCAACCACAGCAGCGGGGGCGAGGGCGGGGGACCGGGCCGTCGAGGGGCGGGGGTGACCGCCGCGCGC